CTGAAGTCAGGAGTTGGAACTAGGCGTCAAGCCCAGGCATTCCAAGGCAGGACAGGGGCATCTTCACTGGCGTCTTCCCTGCTAATCTAAATGCCCAACACCACCTAAGTAGTTTGAATACGTAATTATTTTGAATTATCTTTTTCTGATGAGCAGCCCACTGTCATCTAATGACTTTTTGTTTTTGAATAATTGCAGTTATGGTTTTCATAGTGGACTTAGAATATTTCCATTTTTGAAATAAGAATCCACATAATTCATAAATGTTGAAAAATTCTCTTTGCATGATTTCTTTTGTTTGGTTATTTTCTCCCAGAACACCTCTGGGATGTATGTCATAACTTTGATTTATGACTTTAATATGTTTAATTATTTTCAAATATCCCATTTCCCCTCTTGTTTTATATGTTAGCTACTATCTTTCAGTTCTAGTTTAAAAATGTTTGTATGTATTTTAAAGTCCACAAATTTTCTTTGTGATTAAATTATTGTTTTCTCTACTATTTAATATTTCGCTTTAATTTCACTACTTTTCTTTTTCATGAACACTTGCTTGAGTCTTTAATAAAACTAAATTTTTCTTCTAAGGAATATATTTTTTTACAATTGTCTCTCCACTAATTTTAGGAATATTTATTTTACATATTACGTATTGGTATTGTAATATTGATGTTTTTGAATCATCACAATTTCTTGCTTGGAAATCAGATTCTGAGTTTCTGTGTTGATGGTTTTCAGTCACTGACCTTCTCAACGAATGTACCATCTCATTTTTAGCGACAGTTTCTCTTAGAGATAGTCTTCTCTACATAGGACTTGTGACCTGGGTTATGACACTGTCCCTTCAGAATAATTTTGGGTTTTTGTTTGCTCTGCCAAGAATGAAATCTCCAAGATTTTATTCTCTAGGGACTAGTTTTTAACAGTATTTCTTAGCTTTTAGATGCCACAAAAATATGCTAAATATACATTTAAATCTCTTAAGGACTTGTAGCACAAATTTACCTTGTTTCCTCTTGTGGTAGATCTATGATTCTACCCATAGGGTTCAAATACTTAGTCCCTGCATTTTGGGCTCAAGATTCTGCTGGAACTCCTTCAGCAGAGGTGTACTAATTCCAATTCCTGGGTTTATTTAAGAATCTTAAGATGGTAGCTGATTAAAATTCTCTGGCGATCACCTCTCCACAGAGACACCAATGTGAAAAGCTGTACGCATACCAAGTCATCTTCACGAGAGCTACAGAAGCCAGATGAAAGAACACAGTGCATTGTTTTGGTATAATCATAAGAAAAGCCACATTGATGAAGAAAGGAAAGAGCTGCCTGTATCACCCCTCCTCAAGCTGCAAGGAGGGCATTGTGGAGAGACCTTTCTTGCTTAGGAGAGAGAACTGAGCCAGTTTCAGGCCCACTGCAAAAAATTCAGTTGAATTGAGCCTCCTAGACCTGTATCTGTGAAGTAAGTATTTGGAACCACTACAGCCAGGTGACCTCTAGGTTGTAGGAATAAGCATGCATTCCTGGGAAACATTTTTTCCCTGGATGGTGACCACACACGTTTGTGTCTTTCCACGTGTCAGATGTAGTTTTCAAATGCATACAAGCAAATAAATCAATCATAGCAAATATGCAAAGTTAATCTGTAATGCATATCACTCGCATCAAGGGGGAAGGAGAGGAAAGAATAGAATAATAGAGTCCATTGTCTGGGATGCTCCAGTCACCAAGGAGGCAGATCTTAAGTTAATTGTGGTTGTGGTCTCTCTGAATTGGCTTGCACAATCACTTGGGAAGAGTGCTTTGTGGCAAACACCAGTTGTTAAAGGTGGGTACTGTACTGCTGCAGGGCCCTGGTACACAGAGCCAAAGTCCTTGCTCTTCTTTTAGAAGCCATTTTGGGTGAAATTGTCTCCTTATTTTTAAATCAATGAGTCTTTGTGTTATGTGATATGTCTCTTAGGTCACTCTTGGCTCTGTGTCCTGGCTCTGTGTCTGTTCAATTGGTAAGTCCATCAGTGATGTTATTTGTCTTAACAAGAGCTATTCAATTTCATATTTCAAGATGGAGTCACTTTGGTCAACCTGGTTTATGCTCCATACACTCTGCTACCTCTTCCTCAACTGCTGACAAAAGTGAAACTAATTTGTGGAGAGGCTGGGAAAGTGAGTTCAGAAGCAAGTCTTGGAGCCCCAAGCCAGACCTACCTGAGCCACAGCCAGTACCTGAAAAAGCCCAAAGGCTTCTACCCTTCCTACAAGTTCTCACAGACTGAGTGTCTAGACATCTGTGTCTGGCATCTGCAATCTGGCAAGGCAGATTCATTTTGGCTTTTGTCTCTGCTGGCCTTGGGTGCATTAGCATATACTCCAAGACTTTGCAGGAACCCAAGATGGTGAAACCTAGGTCTGAGCAGCATGGGGCCAGACTAGGAGGCTGGAGGTCTGCCTTTATTACCATTACCGTTCTCTAAGTTTGAACAGATAACAAGTGGTCACAGGGCCATGTCTTGAGACTCAGTGCGGTGCTGGTAAGCTCAATACTGAGCACATTCTAATTATTTCTGCCCTTAGCTCAGGGAGTTTGACAGAATTTCTAGACTTGCATTTTGCAGGCTGGTTGTGCAAACTCAGGACTGCACAGGACCTGGTGACATAAGACACAGGTGTGACCTACCTAAGTAACTGAGAACTACCTATATCACCCATTTTACAATCTTTAACAGACAGCAGGGAGTCACAGAATGTTTTGTGATTCACTGTCAGGCTGATAAAACCCAGCATAGAGCACATCCAAATAGCTCCTGTCCCCAGGCCAGTGCAGAGCCATTAACATTCTTCACTGGCCTGACAGAGTTCTTTAGCCCTGGTGGAATAGTCTTGTAACCCCTATAACATCACCAGTAACTGACGGGCACATCAGAGAGTGCCCCAATCAGTAGTAGTCTGTATAGCAGAGTGAGCTGTCGTTCTATCCCCCTCCCCAGGCTGCACAGGTCCTGGTGAGCTGTGGATTCTGGATGTGATCTAGTATTACGGCGTTTGTGATCACATGGCAAGAAGTCTAAGTTTACGACAGGCCCAATAAGAGGCTCGTGAGGTCAGACTACAGCTTTTTAGGCAATTCTCAATTTCATACTGGACAGCATATCAACTACAGATTTTATTGAATGAATCAGTTAAAATGTATCAACAATAAAACTAGGGCAAACATTGACATTGTAAGCTACGAATTTCTGAAATAACAAAAGCATGCATAGAAACAGATAAACAGACTGCTTAGGAATCAACCAAGCTATTCATAAAGCAATGACTGAATAAAGAAAATGTAGTATATATACACTATGGAATACTCATCAGCCATGAAAAATAGTGAAATCCTTTATTTTGCAACAAAATGAATTCAACTTATAACCATTATACATAGTGAAATAAGCCAGTCCCCCAAAAAACCCAAATATCATGATTCCCTCATCTATGGTAACTCATAGAGTACAAAAGCTCTAATGTATATGAGCAAAATTGACATTTTGAGATTTGATTATTGTTTACAGCCCTTGTCTCTACTGTTGAGGAACAGGGTTTTCTGTTTGTTTTGTTAAATTCTCTACTTAGTGGAGGGTTAAGTTTATGATTATAAAATAAAATGAAAGTATGTCAATGTAAAAACTAAAATAAAGAATAAGAAAAATAGGGGACTGGTGCTGTGGCGTAGCAGGTAAAGCCGCTGCCTGCAGTGCCAGCATCCCATATGGGCGCCAGTTTGCATCCAGGCTGCTCCACTTGCAATCCAGCTCTTTGTTATGGCCTGGGAAATCAGTGGAAGTTGGCCCAAGTCCTAGGGCCCCTGCACTCATGTAGGAAACTCGGAAGAAGCTCCTGGACCCTCGCTTCAGATCAGCTCAGCTCTGGCTGTTGTGGCCATCTGGGGAGTGAACTTTGGATGGAAGACCTCTCTCTCTCTCTCTCTCTCTCTCTGACTCTCTTTCTCTCTCTGTGTAACAGTGACTTTCAAATAAATAAATAAATCTTTTAAAAACAAGGAATAAGAAAAATAGAGCGGAGTGGATGGGAGAATCAACAGAAGGGAGGGTAGGGTGGTGAGTATCACTGTGTTCCTAAATTTGTATATATGAAATATGTGAAATTTGTTCACCTTATACAAAAAAAAATTTCAAAGAATATTTAAGGCAGTCACAAATGAAGCCAGATTACCTAAAGTAATCTTTCAATGCACAAATGATTGTATACATTAACAAGCATCAAGAACATCTAGGAGCCCTGATCTCACCTAAATAACAAACTAAAGTACCAGAAACCAACCATTAAGGAATTGAAACTTCCTGGAAGAAGATTTCAAGATGGCTACTTTAAGAAAATGTAACAAAATTCAAAAGAACATAGAGAAATGATTAAATATTCTAACAGTAAGATTTTATAGTGATAAATGTTATTAAACAAAGCAAAAATTATTCAATTGAGAAGTTCACTAGTTCAAATCTAAAAGATGCTGGAAGTCATCAATAGCAGAATAGGTTAAACAGAAGAAAGAAACATTGAGATCAAAGTCTATCTGAAAATACACAAATAGGAGGTGGTATTGTGGCACAGCAGATTAAGTCACTACTCAGAAAGTTCTCATGCAGTATCAGGGTGCCTGCTCCTGTCTTGGCTACACTGTTTCTGATCCAGCTTACTGCTAAAGTATCCTGGGATGCAACAAATGATGGCTCAGATATTTGGGCCTTTGCCATCCAAGTAGGAGACCTGGATGGAGTTCTAGGCTCCTGGCCTCAGCCTGGAGAAGCCCTCACAATTGTGGACATTTGAGATGGGAACCAGTGATAAAAGAGGTCTCTCTCTCTCTCTTCCTCTCCTTCTTCCATTCCCTCTCCCTCTCCCTCCCCCTTTCCTTCTCTGTCACTTTATCTTTTAAGTAGATGAAAGTAAACAGTTAAAGAAAAAATGAAGTAAATAATTAGAGGATAAAAAGACTAAGGAGGAATGAAGAAAGCTTATAGGAAAAATGAGACAGCCCAAAAGAGCACATATTTTAATTTCTAGGATTCAAGATAGACCTGAGAATTTCAAAGGGGTAGAAAGCATATTCAGAAATAATGACAGAAACCTTTCAAATTCTACAGAAAGATAAAACAGTCCAGGCATAGGAATGGCCAAAGTTTGCAGTCAGCTTCAACTCAACCAAGGTTACCCCCAGGTATATTATAGTTGAATTCTCTAAGGTTAAAGATAAAGAGAATTCTCAAAACTACACAAGAAAAGAATCAAATAACACATAATGGTATCTCAATTTGCCTAACTGCACAAATACTCAGCAGAATCCTTACAGGCCAGGAGGTAGTGGGATGAGACTTTCACAGTACTAAAGAAAAAATAAATTACCAGTCAAGAATACTGCATCTGCAAAGGCTATTCTGCAGATATCATAGAGCGATAAAACATTCCCAAACAAAAGATGAAAGATTCTATCATCACCAGACCTGTGTTAAAAGGAATGCTAAAGGAGTTCTTCAAACTTAAATAAAAGGCACTAAGAAAATATAAAGAAATAAAGGGCGTACAAACTAAAAAGGAAGTAGTCATATTATCACTGTTTGTACCTGACAGGAATCTTATATGTAGAAAACTCCAAAGACATCACAAAAGGATTCTAGAGCTAATAAGCAAATTCAGCAAGTTGTAGGATTTAAAGTCAATGTATAAAAATCAGCAGTGTTGTTAGAGACCACTCATGAATAAACTGAAAAAATAAATCAAGAGGCCGGCCTCGGCTCATTAGGCCAATCCTCCGCCTGTAGCACCGGCACCCCAGGTTCTAGTCTCCTCTTCCAGTCCAGCTCTCTGCTGTGGCTCTGGAAGGCAGTGGAGGATGGCCCAAGTGCTTGGGCCCTGCACCCTCATGGGAGACCAGGAGTAAAAACTTGGCTCCTGGCTTCAGATCAGAGCAGTGCGCTGGCCACAGCACATGGGCCGTAGCGGCCATGTTGGGGTGGGTGAACCAATGGAAAAGGAAGACCTTTCTCTCTGTCTCTGTCTCTCTCTCTCACTATCTAACTCTGCCTGTCAAAAAAAAAAAAAAGAAAAAAAAAAAGAAAAAAAAAAGAAAGAAAGAAATCAAGAAAGCAACACAATTTCTAATAGCTACCTGGCTGTCACTGTGGCTCAGCAGGTTAATCCTGCTGGGCTGGCATCACCTCCCCACACCCCTCCATGGGTGCTGGTTCTAGTCCTGGCTGCATCTTCCAATCCAGCTGTCTGCTATGGCCTGGGAAACAGTGAAAGATGGCCCAGATGCATGGGCCCCCGCATCTGGAAGACCTGGAATTAGCTCCTGACTTCAGAACTGCTGCTATGGGGGTTGCAGCCATTTGGAGAGTGAACTAGCAGATGGAAGACCTTTCTCTCTGTCTCCCTCTCATTGTCTGTAACTCTTATCTCTCAAATAAGTAAAGAAAATCTTAAAAAAAAAGTTCCAATACCTACCAAAAACAAATAAAAAAACAAAACACAACAAGAACTAGAAGAAAATACCCTGATAATAAATTTAACCAAAGAGGTGAAACTTGTCTAAAATGATAAACAAAAGTCAATGATAAATGCAATGGAAGAGGACATAAAGAAATGCCAAGATAAACATGCTGATGGTTTGGAAGAATCAATTTTGTTCAAATGTGTGTGCAAACCAAAATGATTTATTGATTCAATCCAACAACCCATATTAAAATACCAATAACATTTTTATATGACTAAATGAATCACTACTATAATTTGTGTGAAACCATGGAAGATCTCAAATGACCAAAATGATATTGAGTAAAGAAAACAAAATCTCACTGAAAGATTAAATTAAAAAATAAGATAATTGTGGTGAAATAATTTTTTGAATTCTTGTATGGATTTTCACAAACTTTTTGAAGATCCTTTGTATGCAACTAAAGCACTGTAAAATATGACAAAATTATAATTTCCAATGAGCATTTCCATCATTACTTCATATGATTTTTTCCCAAAACGTGATGAAATGGGCAAGTCTGAATTTTATATATTCTCTTAGATGCCTGTATTACTCAGCATTTGCCAGAAAAACAGAGCTAATAGCATATAATAAATAAGAGGAAATTTATTGTAGGTATTGGTTTACAGAGTTATGGAGGCTAAGAAGTCCTGTAATATACCAACTGCTGTCTGAGGAACCAGGGAAACCTGTTGTATAATTCAATGAGTGAAGGCCTGTGATGGAGGATCTCATTGGCACTGTAATTCTCAGTCTAAGGTCAAAGGTTTGAGAACTGGGCAGAGAATGATGCAATCCCAGAATCGAAAATCAGGATCTTCAGTCTCCAAAGGCAGAAGATGAATGTCCCTGCTCAAGAAGAGACAAATGTGCTCTTCCTCTGCCCTCTTCCTCTCTATGCAGAGTGGGGTGGAGTTTCTGGAGGAATGAGATGCTGCCTCCCTATGCTGGTTGGGTCAGGCCTTCTTTAATTAGTCTAATTCAAGCACTGGTCTCTTCTGGAAATATCTTCACAGACTCACCCAGAAACAATGCTTTTCCAGCTGTTGGCACATCACTTAAATCAGTCAAATTCACAAATAAAATTAACCACCATATTACAGATCTCTTAGAATGTTTTCTGTGTCCACTAATGTAGATTTACAATGCTCATACTACTCCGGTTCTGATAATTTCTATAAAAAATTAGTTATGTACATCTATTTGTAGAAGAATATTTTGTATGGCCTATGGAAAGGTTGCCTTTTCAAGAACTGTTTCTTGGAGTTTGTAATAGTGAATGGTATGTTTTGCATCATGTTGATAATTAAACAGAGCCAAAAGTATAGCTTTACTCAGGAGAGTGATGATGGAGACAAAGTTATAAAGTATCCTATGATGGGCTGAAGGAGGATATCAGATGTGAAATCATTGCTTGGAGTCAGGCTGATATCATGATGTTTTCTCATGGCTGGCAAAGTTAAGGTCTTTGTATTTAAGAATACCTTCCGAAAAAAACCTCCCTTGCATGATCAAATCATGCTGTGATTATAATCACCAAATATGAACAGACTGAAAAACATTGTTAAGATACAGATTGTACTAAGACAGAAAGATTAATTATTATTGGACTGATTATATTTAGTAACTGCTGTAACACACCAGCAATCCAATGCTTAGCTAAATGTCAGGCTATTTGGCAGTGCTTTGCTAATCGAGCTCCAAAACAGAGGTGAATTTCAACAGTTCACGATTTTTGCACTGTGGATCTTGACTCTATGTCTCTACTCCCCCCACAACATAGATTGAAATTTTGGCATTTGAAAAATCATTCTGAAGTGGATAAAATAACAGTTCTTAGGCACAGCAGATAGACAAATATTTGAAATTATTGCAAAGCAGATAAAGAAACAAGATATAGAAGGTAAATATTGGTTAGAGGCCAAAAGTCTCTGAAGAAAGAGGCAGATTGTAGAGATCTTCAAGGTGAGAACCTACCATGCAAAGTATTCTTTACTCGTAGTTTGGAAGCCATTGCGTAACTCCAAATGGTGCTCTTATGATGATCAAGCTTATTTTAGGAGAAACTTATTTTTACTTACACATTTTTTGTGTAAATAAGGAAATTTTTCAAATTATAGTGATGGAGAAAGAATGCCAAGGGCCCCAATGTCCTACCTCACTAACAGCACAACCGCTTTATTCAATATAAATAAAACTGACCTGTTCCCCCTTCCTTAAGCCCTGCTCTGCATATTTGTGCAGCCTGTGTCTCTCCAAAACATGCCCCTCACACACACATGCACTCACACACTTGCACACACACACACACACACACATAGAAGGGAGAGGAAAAAAAAAAAAACAAACAGAAACACATGACTACTCCAGAATCATTGAAAAACGTTTGCATCTACTAACAGATTTAAGGATTCTCAGGAGAGCGTTACACCTCACCACAAATATCTTTCTAGAAGTCTTTATTTTGGGTCTGTCTCTTCAGCACTCGTGGTCTGTATGGTGTATCCTAAAAGCACTGTCTTTTCTTTAATTTGTATTTGATTTTCACTTTTTTGCCTTGCCGCATCTTAGAATGTTTGAGCTCCAGATTCTTCCTTCTTTTCATTGTCCTCAAGTTATTTTTCCTGTGAAGGTTATATCATCTCTGTAATGTGTAATGTGCGTTGAGCAAATTTGTCTCTTCCTGATTCTTTAAATCATTAAAGAAAAAGCTGCCTCACAATTTTGGGTAAAAAATCTCCTGCTAGATATTTTTATTTATTTAATAGGGAGAGAAGAAGGAAGGGGAGAAAGAGAGAGAGAGAGAGACTATAAGCTCCCATCCACTGATTCAAAGGAGTTGGGATGGGCTAAAGCATTCACATGGGGTCTGCCATGTGAATGTCAGAAACTCAATTAATTGAGCCATTCCTTCTGCTTCGAAGATCTGAATTGGTAGGAATGTCGCTCCCCCTCTTCATGGAGGAACGACACTAAACCCTGCCTAGGCTTCATATCCGAGTCACGGCACCATTATGTCGCTCCCCCTCTTCGTGGAGGAACGACACAGGACCCTGCGCTGTTCTTTCGTCTGCTCGGCCTTCCCCGGGTTTGCTGCTGGTTCTTCCCGGGTTGGCTACTATCCCTTCCACCTCCGTGGAAGGGCAGTTCCCCCTGGCCACATTCCCCACTTCCGCAGGGGAGCGGCACACCGCCGGCCGGCTCTCTGGGGGGCTGCACAGGTGTTCCTTCAGATGTTCCCCTTAGATGTTCCTGGTGCATGCCGTCTCTCTCCTCCTTTATAGTCCTCCTCCGCCAATCCTAACTCGGCTGCCCACACGCCGAGTACGCTGCTCTCCAATCAGGAGCAAGTCCTACAGTTTATTGGTTGAACTGGAGGCAGCTGGGTAGAAGCTGTTTTCTCCTCTCCCAGCGCCATATTGTAGGAGAGCAGATGCATAGAATAAGTCTTAATTCCAGTAACAGTCTAGTCCGAGCTGCTCCCCACAGAGGAGAGCAGATGCATAGAATAAGTCTTAATTCCAGTAACTTAGTCTAGTCCGAGCTGCTCCCCACAAGGAAACTAGAGTTGAGAGCCTGTGGCAGGCTACCCAAAACACTCACACTTGTGAGGTCATTTTGAGCATGAATTGCTGAATGAAATGTTTTACTATCCTTCATTGAAATGCAACTTTCTATTCATATGCATAATAATTTCAGGAACAGTGCATTTGCATTACAAAAATTTGAAAACAAATATTTTGAAGACATTTGATATGCTCACTTAATGCATAGGCTTCCAATTGTGTATGTGTGGGGGGGTGTGGGTGTATGTATGTACCACAAGGAGATCATATTTATCCTAACATTCTGCAACTTGCTACTTTTACTCTAGAATTTTCACCTCAGGACAGGCATGTAATGTAGTGATTATGATGCATTTGAGATGTCCGTATTGCATATCACAGGACCTTGGTTTTGGGGTCGTGATTTGAGTACCATTTCCACTTCCAATTCTGGCTTCTTGCAAATGTGCACCTTGAGAGGTAGCAGGTGATGGCTTAAGTACTGAAGTCCCTGCCCCTTCATGGGATGTCGTGACTGAGTTCTGAGCTCCTGATTTCAGTCTGGCCCAGCTATGGATTTTGCAGGCAGCAGGGAGTAAACCAGTGGGTGGAGGATCTACATCTAATTGCCTGTCCCTGACTCTCATGATGTCTGTCTTTCAAATAAATAAAAACAAATACATAAAAATACAGGGAAAAAAGGAATGCTCACAACACCATAATTGACTCTTGGTTTGAGTTTTGAAAATTTGAATGTAAACTGCATGGTTTAGCAGCAACCTTAAATATCCAGGTCCATATCAAGCACACACCACATCTAATACCTTTAATATTGATTGTCAATTCTTGCTTGAATCAATATTTCATCAAAGTCTGCAAAATATTTGTTTCCTGCATCATGTTCCTTTACATTTATGTGTTGTCATCTTGATGTTAAATATTTCCTTCAGTAACAGAGCTGTTTAATTTTATATGATTACCATACTACTGGTTAAATTGATTCACTGTATTTACAAGTGGATAGCAGGTAGATTTCCACAGATATTAATGGAGGGTTTAGGGATAGAACATGATAGTACAAATAACACTGAAATATTCAGACAAATAATTTCCAAGTGCATATAAAGATATACAACAATTCCACATGAAGATACATATGTATGGAGATAAATATAAATATAGATCTAGATATATAAAAATAGTTATCCCTCCATATCTGCAGGTTCTGCATCTGCTGATTTGACCAACCACAGTTCAAAAAATAAAATAACTGCATCTGTACTGCATGGGTACAGACATTTTTCCCTGTCGGCATAATACAATGCAGTATGAAGGCTATCTACGTAACATTCACATTACATTATGTATTATAAGTAATCTAAACATGGCCTAAAGTATGAGGGAGAATGTTCATATGTCCACTTATTTATTTAAGAGATTTTTATAATATCTGCAGGTTTTGGTATTCTTAAGGGTCCTGAAACCAAACCAATCTCTTGTGAAAAATAGCAATAATTGTGTGTATATGAGTGTGTATGTATGTGTGTGTATAAAGATGATAAAGAAAAACAGGGTCCAAATATTAACATGTCATAAATCAAGGTAAGAGTTTTTGTTCTTGCCATTAACTTGAAGGTTAATATAAACTTGAAATTACATCATAAAACAATTTATATTTTAGAAAATTAACACAATGGTTCATCACAATGATAAGCAAATGAATTAAACACAAGTATAGTCATAATTTTAAATGAAGTGGGAAAAAATGAAAAAAATACAAGATAATACTCTATTTTGAGAGGAAAGGATGCTCTTATTTTCCTAGATTGTTGGTGAGAATGTAAATTGCTAATATGTTGTACAGATAGTTGGGGATACATTTTTTATTTAAAGATTAATTTATTTGAAAGACAGAGTTACAGAGAGACAGAGGAAGATAGAGAGAGAGGACTTCCATCTGCTGGTTCATTCCTCAAATGGCCACCATGGCCGGAGCTGCTCTTATCTGAAGCCAGGAGCCAGGAGCTTCCTCCAGGTCTTTCACACCAGTGCAGGGGCCCAAGGACTTGGACCATATTCTGCTTTCCCAAGCCATAGCCGAGAGCTGGATCAGAGATGGAGCAGCTGGGACCTGGACAGGACCCATATAGTATTCTGGCACCGCAGGTGGTGGCTTTACACTTTAGGCCACAGTGCTGGCCCCAGCTGATACACTTCTAATCAAAAATCTCTATATACCTTTGGACAACTCTTTTTTTTTATGTAATTTCCTAATGAAAAGTAAGAAATATTCAAAAAATGTTACAATTATAATGCCCATTTATATAGTTATTTATTGGAAAAATTGGCTTTCCAAAACAGGAGATTAGATAAATTATAATACATCCATATAAAAGATAAGTGTGCTTGCCCGGCGCTGTGGCACAGCGGGTTAACGCCCTGGCCTGAAGCACCAGCATCCCACGTGGGAGCCAGTTGGAGACTGGCTGCTCCACTTCCAATCCAGCTCTCTGCTGTGGCCTGGGAAAGCATAGAAAATAGTCCAAGTCCTTGGGCCCCTACACCCGTGTAGGTCTCTATGTGGGAGACACAGAAGAAGCTCCTGGCTCCTGGCTTCAGATCAGCACAGCTCCGGCCGTTGCAGCAAATTGGGGAGTGAATCAGCGGATGGAAGACCTCTCTCTCTCTCTCTCTCTCTCTGCCTCTCCCCTCTCTGTGTAACTTTGACTTTCAAATAAATAAATAAATCTTTAAAAAAAGATAAATGTGCTGTTAACAAAAATAACTTGAAGAAGTATATTTGATACCACTATTTGTATTTTTTTTTAAATTCTTATTTCACGGAATTGGAATTTTGGTATAGCGAGTTAGTCTGCCTCTTGCAATACTGACATCCCACTTGGGTACTGGTTCATGACCTAGCTACTCCACTTCTGATCCAGTTCCCTTCTAACAGTCTTGGAAAAGCAACAAAAGGCCCAAGTACTGGGCCACTGCTACCCACGTTGGAGACTGGGCTGAATCTCCTGGCTCCTGGCTTCCATCTGACCCAACCCTGCCTGTTGTAGCCATCTGGGGAGTGCACCATCAGAGGTAAGGTCTCTCTCCCTCCTTCTCTTTCTCTCCCTCTTTCCCTTTCAAATAGCACTCACTTTCAAATAAATAGATTTTTTAAAAATTCTTATTTCAGAATAGTTTTAATTCTACAAAACAAAAAATTGTGAAGTAGTACAAAGAATTCCTATATACCCTATAACCAATGTTCTCTATTTTAATTTCTTATGTTAGTATAATATATTTGTCAAAATTAATGAACCATACCCAACTTCACCTATGGAAAAACAAAAACTTAAAATGGGCTAAATGAAAGAAGCTTCAAGGATCCATATGCCTCATTTCTAAATTAGCTTAAAATGTAATTATACAGGAGTAAAAGAAAGAAAACAGATAAAACGTACACACAGTGGGACAACCATTTCCTCAGGAGCAAGGCTTCAGGAATTCGTCTCTTTGCTGTGGTGTCTAAACTTATCCCAATCAGGTTCATAGATGAGGCCAAATTAAAAATCTACCCCCAAGATCTGCTGTGGTCCAAGCCAAGGATTGTGGTCTTGGAATCTGGATTTTTAAAACAGCACTCCGACTGACATGTTAATGCACAATTTTTCCAAAAGCATAATTCATGGTCATTGAAGTACTTGGCAAGAGTATGTTTAAGTCACTTTAACAAATTAGATTATAATAAAAGAGCTTGCAGCTTTTCCCTCTCTTTTTTCTTGCGTTAAAAAAAAAAAAGTGATTTCTCTTTTAAAACTCTTTGTGATCCAGTTTCAGAGTTTGCTTCCATATTCTGATTTTTCTGACTCCACCACTTCTATGAAAATCTGGTTGGTATATTGTTCCGTAAGAACAATGACATGTTGTTGATTTCTACTTACATTTTATTTTATTTATTTTTATTTTTTAAAGATTTATTTATTTTACTTGAGAGTCAGAGGTACACAGAGAGAGGAGAGATTGAGAGACAAAGACGGGATGGGGGGTAGGGTCTTCCATCTGATGGTTCACTTCCCAATTGGTCACAACAGGCAGAACTGCACCAATCCGAAGCCAGGAGCCAGGAGCTTCTTCTGGGTCTCCCACGCTGGTGCAGTTGGGCCATCTTCTGCTGCTATCCCAGGCCATAGCAGAGCGCTGGATCAGAAGAAAAGCAGCAGGGACTAGAACCAGCGCCCATAGCACTGACCCCTCTATTTACATTTTAGGAGCTAGTGTTCTAGGTTGATGCCCATAAATCTCTTTCCACAACTCCTTCACTTGAACTACATATATATCTACATATACAAACCAGCAGCTCCCATTACTTCCTGTCCCTTAACTTCAGAAGACCTATGTGCTGTTCCTTATTGATGACACTGCCTGAGTCACTTTCCTCATAGCTGCCCCCAGATCCTCACAGAATTTTATAACTGGCACATCTGGGCCTGCTTCCAATGTCTGCTGAGAAATACACCTTCAAACACGTAACATGTAATTGAGGATGATTGTCTAGTCCTTTGCTTCAGGGATTGTTTAGATTCATTCTGATTAACATGTGTACCATTTATGCCAGAACTGTTGGAAACATTTCTATTCAATAGCCTGTAAAGGATTTCAGAAGGTTGAAAATCAACTTCGCACATACCAAGGAAAAGAAATTAATCAAACAAACAAAATATGCATATCCATAGTAAAATATGCATTGTAGTTGGTGTTAACATGAATATTGGAAAATATTAAAAGTATTATGATGGAAGGAAAATTACTTAGCCCCTTTGTAACTAAATTTCTTCAACTGTGAAACTGGAGTAAGATAGCACTTACATTAAAGTGATAATTACTTTTAAGTGAATTATTGTATTTACAGAGCTTCAAAAAGTGTTTTCAAATAATTTTTATAGCTTAATATTATTACCATTATAAAAGCAACAAAAAGTGCAATAAGTTTACACCATACCTATATAATAGTTTGTCAGTCATTAAAATAATAATGGAAAATTAGTATCATTAAAGAAAAACAAGAAAGGCTATTAAAAGCCATTTAATTGCTAATAAACTGTGTAAGTATAGGTACATAGATTTTTTAAAACAATAAACAGAACACAGAATGATCTTTTCCATATTGATGATATGTAAAATATTGAAATAATCTTCCTTATCACTCCTAGTTTTTCAGAGAATATATTGTTCTTGTATAAAACGAATGTATTAATAAAAGAAAATATCAAGACACTTGTGTGGCATCGATAAGCCTAAGGAAGATTAACTCTAAATAAGATTAATGCAGTGCATTGACTCAACTATCCTTTAGTGCAGCTATTGAGAAAACAGCCAGCTGGGTGGGAACTGAGTTATAATGAAACCTTAAAAGCAAAAAGCCACCAACACTGGCTAACTGAAAGAGATCCCAGAGCCAAGACTGTAATGGCTGCCCTGCCCAAACTTGAGCATATATGGTTGCAAAATCCGTGCAGTGTTAATGTGGTGTCAAGTGGCTTGTGATTCATCAGTGTCGCTTATAAGGCCTACTCAACGTTGAGCAGCAGGATCATTAACCATCAAGGCTGTGAGGCAATGAAGTAGCGCTTGCCTACTGACCCCAAACCAAGCTCACTGTAGGTGACCTACATCCTCTCGCTGGATGTGTGTGAGAAAATGATGACACCTCAGAAGCAAAGCAGCTGCTGTTTGTTGAGCCTCAAAGGAAGAGACTCTGAAGAAAGACAGGAAGAAGAAATGCTTTAAGGGCACACAGAAATAAAGCAATAAACTATGTGGCATAGCTGAGGAAGCGTGAGTGAAAAGGAATTAAAGGGACAGTAGCTGAAGGTGGTTTACTGAAATCAAACACTGAGCAGAAGTAGAATTGCCAGGTTGTGTATTGGTTGATGTTGCTAGTGAGCCAGTTTAAACAGGAGTTAAAAATAAAACTATGCTTGTGAATTTATTATTTGGTTATGCTTCATTTTTAAAGATGAAAACAAAACATGGGCATATTTGGAATCGTTTACATAGTAGTAAAGGGGTATTAGGAGCATGAAGGGAGCTCTACTGAGTTCATTAACATCAAAACACATCACTCAACAGTTGCAAGGCTTTATAACAAGGTCCTCATGCAAGCACAGAAAGCAATGCAGTGGATGTGCCTTGGAGAGAATCATTTCGATGTCTGCATGCAAAAAAACCACCTATACTGAATCATGAATTTTCATGTGGGCCACCAGAATCACTACATTTTAAACCAAAGTGCCATCACTTTATAAACCACTGCATAATTGTCACCATAGGCCCTTTAAAATTCATTTTCCTAATTTGAGATAGAGTGATGCATTCTGTAATGTTTGTGTAACTAAGTTATATATAAAATATATTCTAAGTACACCATAAATCATTTTGATTCTGAATTATAATATCTCATCAATAATTCCTAGGTAGCAACTTTCACAGAAAAGATAATTTTAAAAAGACCGAAATTGTTAGTATCTTGAATCAGACAATGTATAATGACATCAGACAAATGTAGGTTAAAATTCTGACTCAATAGCTACTACTAGTAGGATATACAAGTTTCTGACTTTTATATAGTTTTCTCATTTGAAACTGTGGATAATAACATTTAATTCATATATTTATTGTACCAATAACAAACTTTTCCATGTAAAGTGTCAAGGTAGAACCCCACAAATGTCAGTTTTCACAGGCTTGTTTTAAATTTGAATATGGCTAAAAACAAAAAAGCAGAATTACCTACAAATGCATACCTTCTGATTACTCCATAGTGAGCCCATTAGTGATTTAAATGAAAAGTTATGGCTTATAAGATATTAAAAATGTAACTCCACTGAAAATTCAAACATTAAAAAGTTTGTTCATGTTTTTTTCTTAATTTTTCTAAGAAGACATAAATATATCCTCTAGAGCACATTGACTGCTGGCTCACAAGTGCTTCAGAGTTCCATGGAAATCATACAATGCGTTTTTATTCTCTTGAGCAGAAAGTTAAGGCTTTTCTCACATGTTCTCCTGCAGGGTCCCCTAAATAAGAAATACCAACACAAATTTGTATAAGTTAAAGCAAGTGTAGGGGTGTAGGAGTTGAAAGGTGATACAAGTCAGTGACATACATTTAGTAAATACACCACTCTTGATTTGCATACTTTATACTACATTGTATTTATCTTATTTCATATTTTCTTCCCTATTAATCTTTACAACTGCACAGCTGACACACATTGCACCTGCAAAGGACTTCAATGACAGCATTTTTTTTTTTTTTTTTGGAAAAAAAATGGACATCTTTAAATTTTCAGTACGGGGGAAAAAGATACATTCTACTAAAATTTTAAAAAGTTCTGATAATGTTAAAAAATGCATCTTCTCCTTATGTTTAAAAAAAAAAAGAAAAATCCCGTACACTTTTTTTTTTTTTTCTCTTAACTCTTAGAAGGGTATCGGCAATTGTAAAACATGAATCTGGCAATATTTTTGTAAATGAATCATTCATACCATTAGCCTCTGAACAGATGTCAGAAAGTAAAGATTGGCTGCCTCTCGATCAAGTTGCTGCTGCCAACTCTCGCGAGCTTTGTCAGTAACAGTTGATTGTAATGTCAGTGCAGTCCAATTTACAGGCTGGAGCAGCAGCTGCATCCTGCATTTCCCTGAAGTGTTTACATGATTTCCAGTCCTTAGAAACTTTATCATCTTTGCTGCAGAGTCGGGTAAGTTGCTCTGATTTTACACCTTCCTAGAGGGATGCAAGTTACTGAGAAACTCATTCCGTGCGAGAAGTGCGATCTCTTCACGTGTTTGCTCTGTCTCTTTAGTGCTCTGTGGAGAGCAGTTTAGTAAAGCCTGTAAATGGGACAGATGAAGCGGGCAGGCACATGCATCGAATCTATTATTCAGGGAACACAGACACAGTCCATTTAACTGCTGAAGAAATAATGAATTTGGTCAACACTGTATAAAGGACTTGTGGAATCGCTGTCATGGATGTTTCTAGTGGGCTCCCTAAGGAATTATATTTTATGCAGTTTTACCTTAAATGCATTCTGTATTCAATCTGTTCTTAAAAGACCAACAAAAGTAGTCTTTGCCTTATTTTCCTCCTTTTTAAAAAATGGCATTAAATTAATAGTTCTCATATTGTCTTGTTTAACAGAGTAGTTTTCTGAATCAACATTTTGGCATCAGAAACTTTAACACTGTCAATTGACAAATCAAAGATCTAAGTATCATTTATGTAAAGAGAAGACTAATTTTTTAATTTGATTCACAAACACACCCCCTTTGCTGTCTGTTCTCTTTTTATATGTGTATTTAAATTGTAACAAAATATCTGACAGTTGCTATTATTTTTATCTTTAAAGAAATTTAAGCAAATTAAAACTTTCTATTTGTGCTATAATCTCATAAACTATTCCTATAATTTATCCCTAACATTTTGATGTCTTCAGTTCCAGTATATCCAGGGGATTAAGCATTCAAAGTATAAAATGTATAAGTGATTAAAACTAAATTGAATTATAAAAGTAATTTCATTGTTTATGATTTCTATTAGTTGCGTGTATATTTTATTTTATTCTATGTCATATATTTATATGAATGTCTCATGATAAACTCAATTACACTATCCCTAGTCTGTGTAATGTCTTAATATAGAGCATCTCATAATTATGATAAATGCAATTATTATTTACTTTAATAACTACTTTTATGGGTATAATTATGAGATTTTAAAACATAGTTTTATAACTGAAAAATATCTTTAGACTTCTCAATGTTATACAATAATATGAATTTTCTGGTAGGATTTTCAAAGTTTGGTTTGGTTATTGCTGTTTGATATGTCCTCCTCCTATTATTAAAAAAAAAAAAAACTTGAAATCTACTCTATTTTTCATTTATACAAAATTTAAGCTAATAATATCTTAAAAATCATGTCATGAAAATTTTGTTTGTTTTGATTGGTTTCTTGATATCAATTAGTAACACATATTTAAATTATGTTGAGTCTTTGTTTTGATGGTTTCATGACAAAGTCTGCTTCCTAGTAAAAACAATGGATTGTCTCAGATGTTAGAAATTTTATTTGAGTACATACAACCTAAGAGCGGATCCACTTTCAAAGACACAATAAATGTTGTAATTAAATATACATATTATCCATACAATGAAATGTTTGTGAGTGGTCTTTCTGATTGAGGACAAGAAGTTCCTAGTACTTCTACGTAATACAGTGTCTTTTATCAAAGATAGTGGTATACTCTATTTATAAACAGACTTCCTCAATTTTCCACTTCACTTAGTCTGCAACAAAACAAGCCTGTTAGGTTTGATATAAAGACTTAGTTGTTTTAATTTGACCAAATACTTTTTAGTGGTGCTTGTTCTAAAATATATTAATATATCTAGGTGGATATTTTCCCACCAATTAAACAAGTTTTATTTTCAAACAGAAATACATATTTGTCCATACATAACTTTTTAAAAGAAAAATTACTCTAAACTTTGGAAAATTACTGTGAATATCTGATCATTCTTTAATAAGTTTCTGGTTGGGCCATAACTTTGGAAAGTTGATGACTATCCAATTACGACAAATAGATGATAAACACAGAGCTCTTTTTATCAATCATTTTATCATATCCGTATGTTATGGAGCAGCATTCTGAATTCTTCTACTAGTAGGATATACAATTCTTCTTGAATTTGGCATGAGAATTCTGCAACTTCTTTCAAACTTGAATTCAAAACATAAAACAGAGAACTTTAAATTTTCTTTCTTATTTTGAAAGTCATATTTTAAATGTTCAGAGGTTTTCAAAAATCACCAGTACTTTTGAAAGTGAATTTTTTATTATATTAGATTATCAGGTTTATAGCAAATGCATGATAATTACCACAACACAATATTCAACAATTCTCATGTTAATATAATATTAATACAATAAGAACAGTTTCCATGTAGTTCAAAGATATATTTCTAAGAATATAATGATATTATTTATCCTCCCTCCTTCCTTCCCTTTTCCTTTCTCCTTCCTTCCTTGTTAACTTTTGAGATAACATCTTTTTAAATTGCATTATCATCAAAGGCTTCCACTACATAAGTTCAGCAAGTAAAAAATAAACATTTTCATATGTGAACATATTTGATAAACTTGTAATACTATAGCACTTATTTTTTATCAAGTATTTCTACTTTTTTTTGTCAGTTCCACACAAATTCTCACCTTTCAACTATTAAACACTATTTCAGGGACAAGCAATTGTTGTAATGGTTAAGATGCAGTTTGCTTTTTAGGACACCCACAATCCACCTCAGAGTCCCTGAGTTTGAATCCTGGGTGTGTTCCCAGTTCATCTTCCTGCTGATGCACATCCTGGGAGGCAATAGATGAAGGAAGGCTCAAATATCTGGGTCCCTGCCACCTGTATAAGAGATCCAGATTGAGTCCTGGCTCCTGGTTTCAGCCTGGTCAAACTACAGCTATTGCAAACATTTGGGAAGTGAACCAGTGGATGGAAGATCTCTCTCTCCCTCTCTAATACACACAGACACACACACAACACAAAATATACGTATATTAGAAATATCTAACATATGTATATATATGCTGTTCAAATACATAAAATAAAAATTAGAAGTATGTAAATAATTTCTATATAATTAATTTATTTTATTTCAATAAGTTGATTGATCTAAATTCAGGTACTCAGTTGTACTTGGTGTAAAAGTGTGCCCATACTTTGTAATACATATTCTAAGTGCTCTCAAAGTTTAATCATTTATTCAATGTGAAATACTCAGTTGCTGACAACTTATAAAAGGGAAAACAGTAAAGTTCTATTGAATATTTTAATACTTATTGAATATTTAGAGATATAGGTTATTAAGAACTTTTTAGTGTCCTTTAATTTCTTTCTTTTAATTGTTTAAAAATATATAGTAAACAAATATTAAAAAATTAAACCTGGGCTGATGTAGTATAGTGGGTAAGCTCCCATGTGTGATACCAGCATCCTATATTAGAGTATGGTTCAATGCTGGCCACTCCACTTCCTGCTAATGTGCCTGGGATGGCAACAACAAAACATGGCCGCGTCCTTGTTTTCCTGGCACTCACATGGCAGACCTGTGTGGAGTTCCGGCTTGCTGACTTTGGTTACTGTTCCCATCTGGGGACTGAATCAGAAGCTGGAAGATCTCTCTGTAATCCCCACTCCCTGTCTCTCTGCCTGTCGAGTGAATAAATAAAGCTTTAAAAAATAATACAAAATAATTGAAACCTATTTTCAATGGAAGAAATAAGAGCAGCATGCTGGAATATAGAAGATCAAATCATGAAAAAGTGATGCTTATTAAATAACAGACTGTGGCTAAATGTAAAAATATTAGGCTATGCCAAGATGTGAACATATTCATAATTTTATATTAAAGTACAGATTTAGTGATTTGGTATATGCTCTCTCCAACAAGTAGGATTTGATTTCTAATTATATTGTCATTTTGCAATAAATGCAAAACAACAATTGTTTTGAAAATTACTAGTTACATTATTTACATGTAACTACTCACAGATATTGTTGAAAAAGCAAGGATTCTGATTCATAAAATAGCTCTATATAAAATCAGGATCTTGTGAGCACAAAATATAAATGAAACAATTGAAGATAAGAAATATTTATGTAAGTCAAGCTAAGTGAATGGGAATAATATCCCAACCCTTTAGCTGTAATAGCAGTTATTTTAAAACATGAACAGTGAAAATTATCACATTTATTAGTTATACACAAAGCAAATATATTTTGGTAATAAGTATACTTGCTTTGAAATAAAATTAACAAGTTATTTAAAGAACAAAAGTTTGAAAATGAGACCAAAACTCATTAGGACCAGGTGTTTCATTTTTAAAGATCAAATAGCTTTTAAATAAAACCAAGGAAACAAAACAAAAACAACAGATGTACTTTGTGTTAGAAGAACATTGACTGAGCCAAGCTAGAGGAATGAGTAAAACCAGGGATGTTGCAATTTTGAAATGCACTCTAGAGTAAACTGGTTTTGTAGTTCATGTTTCCAATGAAAATTTTCAAAACAGAAAAAAATCATAAGGCAAAATAAGGTAATAACAGTGCCTCGCACTCCTATCAGAAATATAAAATTTCAGTAGCTAATAAAAAGTTACAAAAAGCTTTACATTACAGTATATCAGTTTGTTATTATTTATATTACAACGGATTACATTTATTGTGAGTACAATGATACATAAATACCATAACTATATAAAATGTTAAAATTTTATACATTTTAATAATATATTTTATGGATCTTAGGACACAATCCATTTTATCAAACTGTAAATTTTTTTAAAATTATAGTTTTCTGGCTTGGTTAAAAATTATAGCATTTTATTTAAAACACATGAATATAGATATGCATATTGATAGGATTAGATATAGATATAAGTATGGATATATTCATTATTGATCTTTGAATAAAATACTTTACAACATGCATTGATTTATTAAGCTAGTTTTGGGGATTAAAAAATGCTTATTCATCGGTAGCTCTCCCATTTTCAATGGTAAATTAAGTTGATTTAAATGGGTCTAGGCTGTGGGTTATAGGAGAATGCCTTATTGTCTGGCCTTCTAAGACAGTATAACAAATGAACAACAAATGAACAAAACAAAAGGCACAAATTTCCACTGCTCATAGGATTAAGCTTCTTGTTCATGTAGGTTGCATTTACAATTATAGCATCATAAAATATAATAAAGGAAATGTCTTGGACATTCATGAGCCTTTTTATTATTGTCTGGCAAGAGTCTGTTTGTAATTGACTATTTAAATCAGTTTCTTTCAGCTATATAAATATATTAGCTCTTTAAACAATACTTGTGCTACATTTTCTTTCCCTCTTTGTGGAGCTTCAAAATCTGAAATGTTTCTATTACTTAAAATACACTAAGATTTGCACTACGAATTTTTGATAAAATTTTATCTCCCCAAATAATCTCTTTATGGCATCAAATAAATATTACTGAATAAAACGCCAAAAACTAATCACTTTGTAGGTCACAAAGATTACTTTGGATCTCTTATTGTCCTGGAATTTTTTCTGCTTTAATCCTCTGACTTCAGTTATTTGATTCACCATCAAAATACAACTGTGACTATACTATCATGTTTAATTTCATTTGTTTTATATATTGTAATCAGTTAACAAATTAATTTATGTGCCACATGCAATCACTGAGTGTACCATATCTTTCAAATCAGTATCTTCTCCCACATATTGTAATACCAGCCACAAGTTGTCTATCTTCTACATATTGTAATACCAGCCATCAGCTCTCACCATTGGAATTGTAAGGTAGACAGAAAGGCCTATCATGATTTAAAAACTTCAAGTCACCTGATAAATATTCCAGCCCTAATTTTTCTGTTTTTCAGTGATAGCAAGCTTCCTGGTTTTCACAATTCGTAGGACAATTTCATTACTATAGTTCTGTCATTGTACAGTCTAAGTTGTCCGATTTTTCTTCTGACCATAGGCTGGATTGTACAGGGGGAGAAATCGCTGGCAAAAAGGTATCACAGAAGGGACTGTGAAACAGGAAATGACCATCGTAGTTTACAATTCCTTACAACTTGTTAAATTATTTCACAATTCTGTTAAGAATCAGACATCATGAAATTTCAGAAAACACGCTGGTTTGCATTGCCTCCTCTGCACAGGTAGAAATTTTACCTGATATAAGCAGAAAACTACTTAATGCCAGGTTTGCTGTGACTGTGTATGGTTTCCAGCCCAGGGTATCAAAACTTACAAAAATCCCTGATCATGTGTGTTGTGAAAAATTGTACACGGTTTTGAAAATTTTCTCGGCATCAAAATAGTTACCTTTAATTCTGTTTTCCCTGAACTTTTAAAATTCCCTTTGTATTATATATGCTAGGGACAAATTTCTTCTTTAAAATACTAAATCTCCTTTACAGATTAATGATAATGACTAGTCTTCAAATCAAATAAATTCTATTTCCTAATGTACTTACTTATCTTCCAAACTGAAAACTATTTGAATAGTTTTCGTATTTTATAGGACTCATAAAAGCTACTATATTTCAGGGGATTCGCATCAACACAGTGTAATTCTATATGCATAATACTGATAAAACTTCCTACTGCTCTCTCTTTCAGAAGTCAATATGCAGGACAAGGACACAATCATATCTATCCGATTTCTTTTCTGGTTTCTTTTACTCTGCATGGTTATCAGGAAGTCACACACCGAAGATGTGATAATTACAACCAAGAATGGAAGAATCAGAGGGATAAACTTGCCGGTTCTCGGAGGCACTGTAACAGCCTTTCTTGGCATTCCCTATGCACAGCCACCTCTAGGTAGACTTCGATTCAAAAAGCCACAATCTCTAACCAAATGGTCTGACATTTGGAATGCCACAAAATATGCAAATTCCTGCTATCAGAACATAGATCAAAGTTTCCCAGGCTTCCATGGATCAGAAATGTGGAACCCAAACACTGACCTCAGTGAAGATTGTTTATATCTGAATGTGTGGATTCCAACACCTAAACCAAAAAATGCCACTGTAATGATATGGATCTATGGTGGTGGTTTTCAGACTGGAACCTCTTCTTTGCAAGTTTATGATGGCAAGTTTCTGACTCGGGTTGAAAGAGTGATTGTGGTTTCAATGAACTATAGGGTGGGTGCTTTAGGATTCCTAGCTTTGCCGGGAAATCCCGAAGCCCCAGGGAATATGGGCTTATTTGATCAACAGTTGGCCCTTCAGTGGGTTCAAAAAAACATAGCAGCCTTTGGTGGAAATCCTAAAAGTGTAACTCTCTTTGGGGAAAGTGCAGGAGCAGCTTCTGTGAGCCTCCATTTGCTTTCTCCTAGAAGTCACCCGTTGTTCACCAGAGCCATTCTGCAGAGTGGATCATCTAATGCCCCTTGGGCAGTCATGTCTCTTCATGAAGCTAGGAACAGAACGTTGACATTAGCTAAGTTTGTTGGATGCTCTACAGAGAATGAGACTGAAATCATAAAATGCCTTCGAAACAAAGATGCCCAGGAGATTCTTCTGAATGAAGTATTTGTTGTTCCCTTTGATAGTCTCCTCTCAGTGAACTTTGGTCCAACAGTGGATGGTGACTTTCTCACTGACATGCCAGACACACTCCTTCAGCTTGGACAACTAAAAAAAACCCAGATCTTGGTGGGTGTGAATAAAGATGAAGGGACAGCCTTTCTTGTCTATGGTGCTCCTGGTTTCAGTAAAGATAACAATAGTATCATAACTAGAAAAGAATTTCAAGATGGTTTAAAAATATTTTTTCCGAGAGTGAGTGAATTTGGAAAGGAGTCAATCCTGTTCCACTATGCAGACTGGTTAGATGATGAGAGGCCTGAGAATTACCGCGAAGCACTGGATGATGTGGTTGGGGATTACAACATTATATGCCCTGCTTTAGAGTTTGCCAAGAAGTGCTCGGAAATGGGAAACAATGCCTATTTTTACTATTTTGAACACCGATCCTCCAAACTTCCTTGGCCAGAATGGATGGGAGTGATGCATGGCTATGAAATTGAATTTGTCTTTGGCTTACCACTTGAAAGAAGAGTTAATTATACAAAAGCTGAAGAAATTTTGAGTAGATCCATTATGAAACGTTGGGCAAATTTTGCAAAGTATGGGTAAGTGTGATTTTCATTCATTCTTTTTCTCTGGGTTTGTTTATTTTGTTTTGCGTGTCTTTGCTTGGTTTTTGATGCAGACTTCATTAACAACTTGCAGAAGTTTTAATTATTTATTCTCTGTGTACTTAAATTAGTTTCTCTTTATTATACAGTGAATTTTGTTCCATGTCAGAGCGCTTAAAAGTATTCATCATAGAAATTTTAAGGAAAATATTTTCTGATTTCATCACCAAAAATATCGTGAAATCCTTTAACTATGTTGGCAAAACTTTGTATGGAGATAGATATTTGTTTCAAGTACTGAAATTACTTGTTGCATTGATTTTGAACTTGAAACTTTATAATGCTCACAGGTTTAGGAAAGTGGGTGAATATATCTTGTATGTCAAGTTGGTATAGTGGCATCAGATACGTGAAGAATTACAACTCTGTTCAACAAAATCAAAGGGCAAAATAGTGGTAGGATTGCCCTCAGATTACACAGAACACATAGAATTGACTATTTCATCATTGTTTTTCTCTATGGAGTTCAGAGCTGTCAGATAATCTATGGTTGACAGGTACTATGGAAGGTCTTCATGTTTAGCCAAACTGTTCTCCATTTGAGGAATCTGATGACTGTAAGTGGATAGAGTCTTCACCGAAAAGCACATTTTCCCTGATATGCTACGCATATTATGATAGTATTTCCTTAAGACAGAATAAAATACAGACAATCCCAGTTTATGATGATTTGGCTTTCAATTTTTCATGTTTGTAATACCATTCAGTAGAAATATATTTGGAATCTTGCATTTTTGTTTTCTTCTGGGTGGCAACATGTGATAATAAATTCCTTGGTGAAACTTGACAGTAGCAGCAAACTGAAATTTTCAGTCAACCACATGCTTGCCTGTGTGAACAACTGGAACTCTCTCCTTTACTATGTTGCTAAACTATTATGTTTAAGAAGATAAATGTATCACATGCAATTTGGACTTATGATAATTCAAATTCACAATGAATTTATTGGGAAACAACTCCATTGTAAATCAAGAAACATCTGTAATCAGTCAGAGTACATTTTTAAGTCTACATATCCAAAGGTTATTCAAAATATTTTGTGGAAAAAATGAAATTAAAAATATTGGTTTGGTTTAAAATTTTTAGAAATCATACATATTTTCATAATATGCAATGCTATAAAAAAACATTTTGAAGGTCCACAGATATGCATAGACTTTTAAATTTTTCTTTTTCTAAAAAAGATTTATTTATTTGTTTGAGAAGTAGAGTAACAGACAGAGAGATTGAGAGGCAGAGAGAAAGGTCTTCCATCTGCTTTTTCACTCCCCAAATGTCCAGAATGCCCAGAGCTGAGCCGATCTGAAGCCCAGAGCCAGGAGCTTCTTCTGGGTCTCCCACATGAATTCTGGGCCCAAGCAGTTAGGCCATCCTCCACTGCCTTTCCAGGCCATAATTGGAGAGCTGGATAGGAAGAGGAGCAGCCAGGACATGAACTGGCATCCTTATGGGATGACAGCACTGAAGATGAAGGCTTAGTCCACTATGCCACAGTGCCAGCCCCAGACTAGATCAAAAATTTCAGTGAGCTTTATGAGAGACTCTTATATATTTATTGCAAATAATATTCATGTTCCCCCTGTAGTTGTAACCTCAAAGGAATATTAGATGATGGAATTGTTTGTATCAATGAGAATAATAGCAATATAAAAGAAGAAATGACTACTTGGGAATCTCATTTTAAAAGGAGAATTTATATCAAAACAAATTGATATATTAATATAATCTGAATATATTATTTTATAATGAAAATAATGCTGATAATGAAATTTTTTGTGGTTTTCTTTTTCACTCTCCATTCAAAATTCCTTATATTTCATGTTACTGTATATATATTCCTACAATAGGAGTTGCATATTATAATTATATCAAAGTTGTTTTTCAGTTGTCCCTTGTGTATAACGCTAAAATTGTTCAGTTAGTATTTAAATGGACTCTACAATTTTGCTGCAATGTACATTATCCTACACCTGGTGCTTGGTAAGCTAGGTATTAGAGGAATGCCAAAGACTCCAAACTTTACTGCACCTTAGAGTTTTGTTTTTGCTGTGTGCCCAGTTTTGAACACCTATAGCTCTCTTTAGTAAAACAAACTGTTCTTTTTTTAAGACCTTATTTTACACAGCTCATCCAATAATGATTTAATTTCTAAAGTTGCAGTTATTTTAGACCTCTTTCTATTCTCACAGAAATCATTATTAGGAATTTGTCATAACCAATCTTCTATTGCAAACTGCTCCTCCAAAATTACACTATGTTAGCTTCTTGAAACAAAAACTGATTTTGTTGTGTATTCATTGTAGTACAAAGATAGGTATGTATCATATTAGCAAATATTTTCTTGGCATTTGAATGAAAGCTGATAAAAACTAGTATGAATAATCAATGCAATGTTACTCTTCCAAGATATATAGATTATTAGATTAGCAATGAAATTTTTTTGATTTTTGAACAGCTCCCTAAATTTCCGTTCATAAAAAAGGGTTATCATATTTTTAAAGCTTTGTTAGAGTTACTTCTGTCTCATTCTGCTCTCTCCTGAAAGGTTACACCTATATTGAACCATTTGAATATGTATTTAATTCTTTCTTACAACTCCTGATACTATAAATAATTTAATAAGGAATATTTCTTTAAATTATCGATGACTGTAATTGATTTCATATTTTCTATGTTGAAATCATGGAGGAATTTATATTTTCTCACTTCACAATAGAATATACTGAATATCAGAAGTGATAAGTGTCTTATTTTATAACACATAAATAGCGGGAGGTCAAAAAGAGTCTATGACTATAATAATATGAATTATTTGATCTTTTAAAAATATTTACTTTATTTATTTGAGAGTTAGAGTTAAAGACAGCGAGATAGTGAGACAGAGAGAAAGGTCTTCCATCTGCTGGTTCACTCCCCAAATGGCCGCAATGTCCAGAGCCAGACCAATCTAAAGCCAGGAACCAGGAGCTTCTTCCAGGTCTCTCACATGAGTGCAGGGCCCAAGCACTTGAGCTATTTTCCACCGCTTTCCTAGGCCATTAGCAAAGAGCTGGATTGGAAGAGGAACAGCTGGGACACCGAAAGGGGCCCATATAGGATGCTGGCACTGCAGGTGGAGGCGTAGCCTACTATGCGGCACTTTGGCCCCAATTATTTAATCTTGTTAAAGTACTTCTGTTATTAGCATATTTCAATGCTAAATAAATGAGAGTTGGTCTTTTATTTACAATGACGAATAAATATAATAGAGCTTATCAACCTAAAGGGTCAAAGTAAACTTTATGAAATAGCATAGCCATAACAAAACACTATTTTAATAAGTAATTTTCTTTACTGTCTATGTATCTGTAGTTGACCAGAGAAAAAATAGTACATGATATGTCTTGAGAATTGCCTTAATGGAAAACACAGTTTTAATCCCTTGGTGTACATTATTTTCCCCAAAAATATATCCATAAATAAACATTGAAAGAGAGTGGTTAAATGAATTCCAATAGAAATGAAGTTGGTGTTAGGTTTTAAAACCATTCAATCTGTCTCACCACAGACATGATATTCCAATGCTGTGGTTCTTCCTTTCAGTTCTCTACCGCAGTGAGCCCATGGGGACATGTAACAATGTCTGGACCCTGATTTGAGTGTCAAAACTGGGAATAATGGTGGTAGCAGAGTGTGGGCCAGGGATGCATTAAACATTCTGTAATGCACAGGCAGTGCCTCACATTCCCTTCAAAATGTCTTTAATGCAAAGTTGAAAAACTTTCCTCATTTCTACTTCCCACAGAATCTCCAAATTGCAAGTTAAGAAAGTACAGAACAGGTGATGGAGTTCTAGTTATCTTTCAGGAGAATGGATTTTCAAGTTCACACTTCATATAATATCAATACTTTTATTTATTATATAGTAAATCTATGTGGTACTTATGAATTTCATGGGGATATAATACATACTAAGCAGACAGTTCAACAGGTTGGGACCAGTAGACACAGCCCAATACAGTATCATCCCATCATGACAATAATAACTCCATCATGTCAGAAGATACTCTCACCCTGCCACTTTGCAGTCTTTTTTCTGCTCGACTCTCCAGTCAACCACAGATTTCATGCTGATCATCATAGAGTGGCTTAACCTTTTCTAGATTTTCATATCATTGATGTCACATTCTATATTATCTTTCATCTGACTTATTTTGCTCAGTATTATTCATTTGCAGTTTACCTGAACTGTCTAAATCAGTATTCCATTTGTAGCATACTACTGGAGACCTTACAAGTATTTTTCTTGGGAGATCAATCCACAATTTATCAATTCACCCACAGACTATTTGCTATGTGGGAATACTAGGAATAAAGATTCTGAGAATATATTTATAGAAAACTTTTGTTGATATGTTTTTTTTTCTTCTGGGCAAAAACCAGGAGAGGGGTTTCTAGAGTAAATATAAATGCGTGCTTATCTTTTTAAGAAACTGTTTGACTCTTTTCCTTTATTGATGATGTTACACTCCCTGGAGCAAGGTACTGGAACCCCAGTGCTCCACATCCTTAGCAGCACTTGGAATTAGATTTTTTGTTTGTTTGTTTGTTTGTTTGTTTTTTACTCTTGCACTGTCTGCTTTCTTTGTAGCAACTTTTCATTGTGGTTTCACTTTTCTGCTTTTCTCTGAAAGCTCTTGAGCTTAGTGGTCATTGTGTATGTTGTATTTCAAAGTGTTTGTTTAAATCTATTTCAGACTATGTTTTCCAAATAAAGTTCAGAATATGCTTCTTGGTTTCCACAACGTCTGATAGGACCTAAAAGCATTATCTTTTTGAAGAGAAGGATCATTTTAGCATTGTTGTTTTTCAACTAATATTTCAAGGTTTCAAGTGAAGAGTTCTTGCATTTGTTTCATTAAATTTATTCCTAAGTTTTTTCTGTATTTCAAAAT